CCAAACCTGGGTCAAACTGTGGTTCTGTTTGTTTACAACGTGATGTTTACTAAATAAAAACATGTAAACAGGTTAGCTGAGAAATTAACACAAAAAGGTTCTGTTGGCACTGAGCGAAGATCAGTCTGGGGGGGGGGTCCATCCACGGTTCCTGATCGCTCCTCGAACTCTGAGCAGGAAGACGAAGGACGCCGTGCAGATGATGATGATGATGACGTCAGGCCTCTACGACGGGCAGGTGACGATGATGATGATGATGTCAGGCCTCTACGGCGGGCAGGTGACGATGATGATGATGATGTCAGGCCTCTACGGCGGGCAGGTGACGATGATGATGATGATGTCAGGCCTCTACGGCGGGCAGGTGACGATGATGATGATGACATCAGGCCTCTACGGCGGGCAGGGAGGTCACGGGAACCCGGCGGAAAAAGAAGCTGGATCCTCTGAAGAGCTGGTCCTGGTGGAGGTTTGGAGAAACATCGTGAGCTTCAAAAGGAACGACTCGCGAGCCGAAGGTCATTGTTGGAAAGGTCGAAATCTGTTTCTTTAAAGGGACGGTTCAGCTCTTTAGAAGGTGGGCTGCTTAATCGGTTCTGATCATTACAGCTGGTCCAAATGGACCCGGGTCTACAGAGGATTTTTCATCTTGAATTTTTAAAACGTCACAGCAGCTTCAGCTGATTCTCAGTTCAGACTAGCCTTCAGCTCATCAATCCTGTCAGAGTTAAAACTATTTCTCCAGAGCTCATTCACAGAGCCATCTACAACAGGTAAGACACTTAATGTGAGCGTTAAGGCTGCTCACCAAATGTTTTTTTAGATTTTTGTAACTGAACTACAAACGTTCAGCTCAGTCGGGAGTAATGTGCTTAAACTTTTGAGTTTCTATCATTTCTAAACTTTTTAAACATTGCCATAAAAATAAACGCAGCTCCCTTCATTCTCTTGAAATGACTTCAGCTGCTGCCCCCGTCTTTAGCCTTCCGTTAGCTTTCAGCTGCTATTCTAGCTACTATTTTACAACTTGTAGCTACAGTTTAACTACTTTTAGCTATCATTTAACTCATTTCATGTGTTGTTACCGTTCAGCTGATTTTAGCATTTAGCTACTGTTTTATTACCTATGGTTCTGTTGCTTTTAGCTACCACTCTGCCCTTTTTAGCCTTTAGCTACAGTTGTGCTAATATTAGCATATTTAGCTTATTTTTAAATCTGTTTTTCAGCTTTTAACATTTTTAGCTTCTAGTTGTTGCTCTGGTGATTTAGCCTTTGTTTTGCAGAGTTTAGCTTTAAGCTACTGTTTTGCTTGTTTTATTTTGAACAATTCAGCTTCTTCAGCTTTAATTCAGTGCATTCGGCTCTCAGCATTTGTTGTTTGTGGCCAGCAGGCGCTTCGTCAACCTTAGAAATGTTTTCGGAAATTCTCGAGTCGCTCGTGTCGTTCTGCAGAACCCCAGCTTAAATGAGCTGAACTGTCCCTTTAACAGCAAAGCGAGTTTACCTTGTGCCTGAGGTGAGTCCAGCAGTGCAGCCAGGACGTGAAGATGGGAGAGCGAGGAGGAAGACCTGCAGCCAGACTGAAAACAACCAATCAGAGCCGGGCGTCAGGAGCACTTCCTGTTTGTTGGTTCACTCGTTAAGTTTAAATTCTTCCCACAAATGACTCGAAGAACATCCGTTAAAAGAAACTCGAAGCTCCTCGGGAATAATTCAGCCACGCTGTGACGCCGTCAGAGGTCAACTCACCCACAGTTGTTGACGGCCATCATGTCAGCGACCAGCGTGAAGGGATACGTCAGAACGCTCACCGCAATCTGAAAAAGGAAACTGTGTGAAAACAGGAGGCGCGTCAGGGAGGCGACTCAAACCCAGGAGGCGACTTACCCCCATCACAAACTTTGTGTAGCTTCTCACCGCCGACGCCTGACTGAACTGAAACAGGAAGTAAACGAGTTAGCAGCCGACAGCAAAGACCTTGTTGTAACTTTGACCTTGGTTTGTGACCTTGATGTGAGTTCAATGTCTTTCTTGGAAAAAGGCGACGGACGTACGTTTTCATCCACAGTGTAGGTGTTGATGAAGTGGGCCAGGAGGTTGCAGCACCACAGGAAGAGGACTTCTCCCAGGACGTGTGGGACAAAACCACTGCGGACAAACGGAGACGGCTCAGACCGACGGGGGTCACAGATCCTGCAAGAACTGCTCCCATGGAGTCGGACTTACACGTAAAATCCAGCCACTCCTTCCTCCCTGAAGATCTTCAGCGTGCAGCTGAAGACGCTGCTGAAAAGGAGAGAAGAGTTGGTCAAAACCCGAGGAATGATGGACGTTCCCTGTGCAGATGTCCATTTCAGTCCATCCGTCTATAAATCTGGTCGTACCTGTATTTAGTCTCTCTGCCAACGAACTGGGCCATGCAGCGCATCGACATGACTGCAGAGGCAAAACAGGCTCATTAAAGTATAAAGTTACTGTCGCTCCCTCAAAACAACAATGAATAAAAAACTACGGTTTCACTCCATCCATGAACAGATTCAATTTAATGTCAAGAGCTGAAAGTATCACATTTATTCTACAGAATAAATAAATGAATATTAAATCTGAAAGCCATTATTTTATAATTTTATTAAATTTCAGTTTTAGTTACACGCCAGTGGAGCGATCCTTCTTTCCCAAAAGGCCCCGCCCCTTTTTGGGGAAAACAAAAACTGCTGGAGCCAAACTGGAAATAAAAAGTTGTGCCATGCCTAACGGTCCTGTTGCAGTTCTGCCCAGTATAAATCAATATGTTTGTATTTTTGTTTACTTCTCTAAACTATGGATGGGAATAAAAGGAGCGGTTTGTGGCTTTGGTCCAAGGCAGCCGTTTGATTTTGTTAGTACGTACATGTAAATAAGTGATGACTTTAACAAATTCTATTTGATTTTGTATTTATTATAAACGGAACCATCATTATTTATTTTCCCACAGGTAAAATACTGAAAGACTTCTGCAGCTGCTGGTTAACTCACCCTGGAAGCTGATTGGCTCGTGGGTTTTCATCACATGAATCAGAAGCCCACAAGCTTTGTTTGTTTGTTTGTTTGTTTAAGCTTTGTTTTGACTCCTCCCACAACTTCTGCAGACGCTCTGTTCTGTGTCGAGTGAAAATCCACCAAACTTTTACATATTTTCTTGGGAGCCAAAAAATAAAAAATAAATCCTCAGGCATTCATTATTTGTTTGTGTGTGACGGATCAAGCCACAAGGAGGCGCCATTCGTCCAATCTGATGGTTGTTCAAACCTCAGAGCTCCAGAGAAACCTGCTTGGAGTCGACTGCGCCCCAACATCACAAAAACATGTTTGTTTGTGGAGACAAACTTGTGTTGGATCGCTGTCTTCACGATAACTCAGGATTATTGTTGGTGACATTTAATTATTTGTTGACAGACCATAATATTTCAGCACCTAAACACTTCAAAGTGCAGCTGTGGTCCCATCAGCATGGATTACCAACAAACACCTCAGGAGTTCCCTTTTACTGCCAGTCAAAATGAAGCGGTTGTTTTCTCCCAAAAAGGGGCGGAGCTTAGCACAGAGGCCCTGGCAGTGTATCAGGTGCACAACATTAACGTACTTATACACAGTGGCTTCAAGGTCAGTGCGATATACGATGAGTAGGTTAAAAAAACAAACACACTATGTTTATTTGTTTCTGTGCATCAGTAAAGAACTTGTTTTAATTCATGTAAAACGCCTACATAACTTCAGAAAGTCCGATCCGACCAGCCGGACTGTGCTGGCCAATCTGGACCTCTATCCTGTAGTTGAAGACGTTCCACGTCTCATCAGTGAGGCTTTGTCAATTCAAAAGGTTTTTTTCTTGGATTCACCTCGTCCTACACGACAGAGAAACACCTCCAACGTTTTAGCAGCCTTATTGACGAGGACGTACCATAGAAAGGATGGGTGGCTACTCTGGACAGGCACTGGATAATCATCTCATTGGAGGTCTGGAGAAAAAAAAGACTTTAGTTTTGTTTCAGAATTCATCCATGAGAGGAGTGACGCGTCGCTGTGAAGCCAGGATCTCACAGAGCTGCGACCGCCGGAGCTGAAGCTCAGCTGTTTTGGTTTAATGTCCCTGAATTGTGACCCACGCTTCGCCACGAGTTCCATTTGTGAATTCAAGTTTTCCTGTCTCCAACTCATCCCCAGCAGTCACAGCACAGTAAGATATCTTCATCTTTAACTAGACATTTTAGATAACATCAGCTTTTAAATAAACGGTTTGTTAAAATGTTTTTATCAGTCCAGGAGCTGCTGACCTCTCTGAACACTCTGCTGAGTGAGTTCTGCTCCTCGGCGGTCTTTGATTCCTGCACCACCTGATGAAAAGCAGCCAGAAATAAACTCTGACAGAGACTTCAACACAGATTCTAAACATCCTTCATACAATGAAAAGGTTTCAGTCCCTGCTCACCTGCTTCACTCTCCCTCTGATCACGGTGGAGATGATGCTGGACACGAGACGAGGCGAGAGGCCACGGAAGAGGCCCGTCGTTCCATCCACCTTCACGATATAATGAGCTGAAACAGAGTCACGTCCTGTCAGCTGACTGTAAGTTCAACAGCTTACTGACAAAACACACAATGCAACACGAACAGCCATAAATGCAACAC